CTGAAGCATGGCCAGAAGGACTTGCTTAGAGAGTTTTTAAAAATACAGAGCTAAATTTATCTCACTTTAAAAAAACTTAGATTCAGTAGGTCTAGTGTGGAATCTTGGAATCTCCATTTCTTAGAAAGTACTCAGGTGATCCTGATACACAGGCAATGTTGGAAAGCATATCTTGATACCTCAGGCAAAGCCTTGTTCAGACATTCTTAAATTAATAGGAAGTCCAGACCTTTTCATTTTTAAAACTTTTCCTGGTTCTTGAAAGGGTATCTCACTGCAACCCTCCTTACCCCAGAACGACTCAGGAGACACAGGTCCACGCAAGAGATTTTATTATCTGAAAGAGAAAATGACTGCCCCCAGAGAGAGGGAGCAGCAGCTCCTAGGTGAGGAAGTGCATTTTTAAGGAGTAGGGGTAGGGTGTGTTCTGCGTTGGTGATTGGATCTTAAGGGGTGGGCGACCATCTGGTCATTGGTGATTGGATCTTAAGGGGTGAGTGATCATCTGGTTGGTGGTGATTGGATCTTAAGGGGTGGAGGTCTTAGCACACCAGAATTTGCCTTCAGTTCTGAGTTTGATAGGTACTTACAGCCAACTTGGGATCCAGTTGAGAAAAATTAGGAGAGCAGATACAATATAAAACATCCATTTGAAGGTATCAGCTAGCAGTTGAGGCAACCTTCTTAAAAGGACACAATGTCAAAGAAGGGGAAACTACACACTAGATGACATGACATTCTCCAGCACCTTTGATCCTCAGGGAAATTCTGGGCAGAAGGCCAGAGTCTGAGTTTTGGAACAGAGCCAAGAAAGAGGCCCTAAGAGGCAAAGACACCAGCAGGGATTTTTGCAGTTAAGTAAGGTTAGAGAGACAAAATATAAAAACCAGAGAGGCTGGATACCCAGTGAAAATGGAGAGGTGAATAACTGAGCCTAATACTCTACTGTAGTTTCTCTGTCACTTCCCAAATTCTGAAGATGCATCAGACAAATGGCAAACCCACCAATAAGATAGCCTCTGATAAACAGAGTGGAGCATTTTATAGTCTCACAGTCCCGAGTAACGAGGATTAGACTTCAGTGCTTCAGTATCCCCTGGGGTCATGGGCCCCAGAACACACAAGACTCTCAGCTGGAACACCTGGAGGTTGTGTTGCAGGAGCAGCAGCAAAAATGAGGTGGACTAAGCCTTCAAAGTTAGCCCAGTCTCTGATTAAGGTGCTCAGCCCTCTAACTGCTTTGTAAAGGACAGGATGAGTCCTTTCTGGATGAAGTTAATATTATCCAGAGACTATGATTTTTTCATACTTAAAAATTACCAGGCAAGCCAAGAGCCAGTTAAAAAAAAAAAGGCCAAAAACCAATGGAAGGAATATGCAATAAAAATAGACCATAGAAGATCTAGCTATTATAATGATCAAAAAGAAATTTAAAATAGATAGGATTGATATGTTCAAGAAAGCATAGGCAAAGGTGGAAAAGACAAATAAAAATATGGAGAATTTCTCCAAATGAATTGGATTTTATTTTTTTTAAATCATATGAAAATTCTAGAATTTAAAAATACACTGAGAGTTCAATAAAGAGATTTAAGAGAAGATTTAGATAGATGGATAAAAAATATACAGACTCATGCACAAAGGAACCAAAAAAGATGATAGAAAATACATTTGACAAACAATGAAAAATACTGACATATGTATAGCTGAAGTCCTAAAAGGAAAAGAGAGATAAGAAGATACAGACCAAGAATTTTCTGCAGCAGATAAAAGATGTCAAGCTATAATTTCAAGAGATTCTGTGAGTGGCACTCCTCCCACCCATGAATCCAAGTGGGATGAATATAAAAGAAACCACAGGAAAAAACAGTTGAAAACTAAAGAAAAAAAACCCCAACTAACTAAAAGGAGTCAGAGGAAAAAAGACATTACTTTTCAAAGGAGCAATAAAGGAATGATGAAAACAGAGGACATCTTTAGTGTGCTGCAAAAAAATGCCTTGCTAAACTAGAATGCTATGCCCAGCAAAAATATGAAGGATAAAATGAAGTGTAGGCAAATAAAAATGAAGAGAACTTGTCAGCAGTGGGCCTGAAGAGAGGAATTATTCAAGCAAAAGGAAAAAAGTCAAGTCAGAAGTACGTAAGTGCACACTGGAATAAGGAGAAACATAAAAGGTAAATATGTAGGTAAATGAGTATTGACTGTACAGAACAGTGATTATAAAATCCTGGGTGGCTTAAAATATATGCACAACTAAAATCCATGCCAATAAACACAAAAGGTAAGCGGAGGCATACTATTCTAAGGTTTTAGCATTCCTGGGGAAGTGTATAATTAATCATTTAAGTAAGCATGTAGTAAGTCAAGCACGTGTGTTGTAATCTGTAAGACTTCTAAAAGAATGTATAATCAATAAGCTAATAGAACAGTCTAATGGTATAGTTAAACTATTTAACTCAAAAGAAGGCAAGAAAGAAGTAAACGGGCGAAAGGAAATAAATAGTAAGATTGCAAGTATAAATCCAAATACAGCAGTAATTATATTAAATGTAAATGGACTAAAGCCTTTTACTGTTGAAACAAGGAGAGAGCAGCTTTTCAATTTTAGGTTTAGCTGTACTCTGCATAAAATGTAGTTAACAAATATAACAAATAAGACAGGAATTACTAGAGCAATATGTGGAAGGGGCAAGTAACTTTCAGCTGCCAGCCCTGTACGGCTGAGTTCTGAGTAAAGTGGAAATCAAGAAAAACTGTCTTTTCAGTGCTGGGGATTGTTTTTTAACATGCAAAAGATGAGGGACTTTAATCTATTCTTTGTTGCAAACCTTTTATTTTGAGAAGACCTCCTGATTGTGCCATTAAGTTATGCAAATGTAAAGCAAAGACTCTCTATGGAAGCTGTCTGAAAAGCTAAACTGTACTTTGTTGTTGCAAACTGTTTTAAGTTCTTGCTACTTTGCTTAAACCCCAGTTTGGTCTTTTTACAGGAATGGCTATGGCTTAGTTTTTCAATGATTCAAATTAACCAACAGCAAACACAACTCATCTCTGTTACTATTTTTCTTCTGAAGACGAGGTTAGTCTCACATAAAGAACTCATTTTCTTTCTATTAATATGATTCTTAATACGACTCTCTGTACTCTTTGGGAAATAAAAACCTTCCTTCATTCTTTAAGAGACTCTCCCCCGCCTTTTTTTTTGTGGATGTATTTCCATTACAAATAGCTCCCATTTTACCTGACAATGCATCTGTCTGATTCAACGAGGATGGAAAATATCCCTTCAACAGATTATCCTGTATCCCCCAAGTTTCTCTCCTTATTTGAGGATGAGTTTTGGAAATAGGTGAAGGGTTATTCATTAAATCTCACCATACTGCACTCATATTACCTGTGTCAGTGCTAGGATATTGAATTGGCTGGACCATCATTTGAAAATACAAGTTATCATTGATGATCTAGACAGTAAGGCTATATAGAACAGTATAGATGATGATATAGAACAGTAAGGCTAAAAGTTAGAGTGGAGCAAAGCTACAGAAGTAGGAAAGTAGAGGTTGAGGTATATACAAGGCAGAGCTTAAGATGGGGGTGGAAATTTTATCGCTTAGTGGCTTAAGATATATTCATTCATTAGCAACATCTTTTTTTTTTGTCTGTACTACTACTTGTACATTATGCCACAAGAGATGCAAAGAGACGTTCTAGAAGAGCATGTATCTGGGAATACATTCATAAAATGTATACAAGAGCCACACACCAAGGGCTAAATGATCAATACTAAAAAAGTTCAGAAAAGTAAAGATATAAGTTAACATAGTGAGAAGATGGTCTTAAAAGACAGAGCTAAAACGAGGGTGTGTTGGGGAGTACAGTCTATGCAGGGGGAACAAAGCAGACAAAAGTCCAGTAGCAGGGAAAAACACACAAAATTATTTAAATTAAGCATGTAGTACAAGTCTTGTCATTTACTGTTTTTCCACTAAATGCAGGGAAAGAAAAAAGTATGACTCAATCTCTGCCTCAACTAGATGAGAGACAAAGAAACATACAGCCAGTAGAGGACACACAGAGCACGAAAAAGTGCCAGTTCGTGCGTCGTTCAGCCATAAATTCGGAAAAGAGCAATTCTGTACAGGGCATGCGAAGACAGGTGCTGGAATACGACAGAGCAAGTTTCCAAACTCAGATGTGTGCCCCCAAATAGCTGTGTGACCTTGCTTAAGTCACACGACCCAAGTGCATGCTGTTTTCTATAAAAACGGCTGCAGTAAGGTCCAAGTCCTTCAGGTGCGTGTGTGTGATGTCACTGATAAAAGGGCTTGACAGGGGTGTCTGAGTTTCCCCGTCTTCGCACCTACTCCAGGAGGGTGAGCTGCTCCGGTGCTGGTGCAGCAGAACGGGAATGATAAAGGGAGGCAACTTCCTCCCCGCCCTGCGCCCTCTCCCGCCCCCAAGTCCCGGGAGAGTCTCCGTGGAAGTGGGCTGAGGGCGCAGAAGTGGGGAGGAGGATCTGCTGACTGTAAACACAGGCGCCATCAAGAGTTCAGGGCCCGTCGGGCTACCGGACTTCCGTGCCGCACTGAAGCCACCCCACCCATGAGCCCGCCCTCAGTTTCCCCAGCTGTGTAATGGGGATACACCGTCTCCTGCCCGTGATCCTCCTGACCGAACCTCGTGAGACGGGCGAGAAGGACCCCGGATCTCCAGCCTCCAGCCCCACCAGCTCCTCCTCCCACTTCGGCTTTGGCCTTTTGTACCCGCCCCACGTGACCGCCCGGCCGGCTCTTCCCTCCTGCCCCGCCCCACCCTCCGGCCTTTCCCGGCTCTTGGCCCGGCTCTTCCCGCTCCTCGGCAGCCCCCTCCCGCGCTCCCCGCGCTCCCCGCCCCGCGCCGCCCTCCCGGGCTGTTCCCGCTCCCTCCCCCAGGCAGCCGTTCCCTCGCGACGCTTCCCCTCCCCCCGCGGCTGTTCCGCCGCCTCGCCTCCCCTCCCCCCGGCCGGAGCTCACTGTCTCCAAGATGGCGGCCGTGTCAGTTTGGGGCATCTCCGCGGTCCGCCCCGGGCCCCCGGGATCCTGGCTCTCCTCCCCCCCGGTAAGTAGCCGAGGGGCCACCCCCGGCCGTCCCCGGCCGTCGGGCCGGAGGCGGAGCCGCTCCGGGCCAGCTCCGCCGCCTCGCGGGGTTGGCGGGCCGTTGCAGGCCCCGCCGCGGCCTGCGCCGCCTCCCGCTGCTCTGCGCCAGGCCTCGGGCTGGGGCGCCGCGGCCGCCCCCTCGCGCCCGGCCGGCGCCCGGCTCCCCCCGCCCCGCCGCCGCTGCCGTTCCTGCGCTCGCTGGCCCGCCGCCGCCCGCCCACCGCCCGGGCCCGGCCCCGGCCCCGGGAGCCGGCGGGCGGGCGGCGAGGGCCCAGGCCGCGGAGGGAGCCTTGGGCTGGGCTGAGCCGGCAAGCCCGCTCTCCCCCGGGGGCGCGCCCACCCGCCGGCCCCACCTGCTCCCGGCCGCTCGCCGCCCCCCTGCGCCCGCGCCCCTGGGCGCTCGGAGGTCCGAGCCGGGCCGAGGTGGCGAGCGGGGGTGACAGGCCGGCGGGTGCTGTGGTGCGGAGGACGCCGCACGTGTGGTGGTGTGTCTGCCGGGCTGTCAGCCCCGGCGCCGGGAGGGGAGGTGGCGGGCCGTCGGTCGGCCGGGGGCCGGCGTGCACGGGAGCTGCCCACCTGTCACGCTTTCCGGGCGTCCCGCGCGCCCCGGACGCCCGCTCGCACCGGCCTCTGTGGGGCTTAGGCTCTGGAGGGGCTGGGAACGGGAGGTGCGCTGCCCCGAACTCTTTCACGTGATTTCATTGTTAACTTAGTCCTCGGGTTCGGTTTCCATTTAATGGGAGCGGCGAGGCTGCCCGTTGGCAAGCTGTAGGCCTGTGTCTTTTCAAGTTTTCAAAGTTTCTCTCTCGCTCTTTAAAAAGAGAGCGCGAAGATGTGTTTGGGGGTGGGGAAGGGAGACCGGGGAGGGACTGTCGGAAGCAAGCTGTGCTTCCCTCCTGGCCGCCGGTGCACTTTCAGTTAAAGTTCAAGTCTGCAGGCGCCTTACTTGCTGAAGACCTGCAGACTGGTGAGAATCCCTGCCGGAGAGACAATGAGTAGCTGTCAGTCATTCTTTTACCTGCGAGCTTAATCAGTCAGGACGTTCCCAGCTACCTAAACTCAAGTTGTAGCTTCCCATTTAGTTTAGCGTTAATATCTACACAATGAACTTTTCCTGGAGTAATAATACTATGATTTCTAGCCTCTTGAGACTCTCACCTAAATGAAGCAGACGTCTCTCAGGGGGCTTCTTTTTAGTCAGCTAATTTAAAAATAAATCTTGGCTCAGGTTTGAGTGTTTACTTCAGCCTTTGGTTTCCTTTCAGTGTTAATAGTACTATCGCTTTCCTGGTATCTAGTTTTCCTTTTGGTTTTAATGTCACGCTTAAGGATAATTGCTGCGGGAGCCATTTTTCTAGTATTGTTTATGTAGTAACGTAAATGCTTCTCAGAACAAGAGCAGAAGTTCTAAAAAACACTTGAGGAAAGTTAAATTCAATTGTGGAAGCAAAGGAGTTATTCAGGTCCGAAATTCATTATTTTAGTCATTTTTAAAAAGATGTATATCTTCCAGATTATTTTGTCTGAAAGAATATTGACTTTGATCCTGGAGAGGCAGTGTATTTATGTTTGTGTTTTATTCATTAATGTTCATTTCAGGACAGCAATCTTGAATCTTTATGTGATCTTCTCTTTAGACCAGCAAAATCTGTTTTCTTTACATTCGATATATAGTGTGTACATTGGAACCCAGTGATTCTGGCCCTTTCTCCCTTTCAGTTTCTCTCTACGGAGGTCAGTTATGAATATTTTGACAGTTGTTACTCTCTCCAATATTTTAATATTTTATTTTGGCGTAGGGGAAGCTATCATATAATTCTTAAAATTTGAATGAAATTGGATTATTTTAAGATTGTTTAAGTAGTTGTCACATTTGATGATTTTCGTTTGCATTTGAAGTGTTTAAAGTAATATTGTACTTCAAACAAGAACTTGGTCTGTGTAAATTGTATTTTTTGTTAAGTTAAAATTTCCTCAGTGGTTTTCTGCCTATTTGTTTTTGTCCAGTCCTACTGTCTGGAATTTTGAAAGATAAAGATTCACTTTTACTTTTATTGCAGGATTCTTTCTGCTAATCCCGATACTTGCTGAAGTGCTGAATAGTTTCTCGGGGAAAAATGTCAACGAAGAGTTTCAGTTCATAGACTCCTGAGCCGATTGCAGGTGCAGAATAGCCAATACCCCTCTGGTTAGTGTAGCCTAAGGACTCTGATAGTACCTCTCATCCTCAGATCCTAATCACCTTTTTTTTCCCTTCTTTTATCCCAGTGGTTTATATACATGATTATTTTGGAATGTTTATAGAGACACGTGAAAATTAAATTCTTACAGGTGCTCAACAGATACTTGCTATTTGATTGCTTTTAAAGGCTAAGATGTGTCAGTTATAGCTTATTTATAATATAGGCCTTGATAGAAAACTGACCTTGTTTTAATTGTTTTTCAGGCATGAAATGTACATTTTTCTGCTGGGCATGAGATGTTCTTGAATTCTTACAACTTTATGAAGAGACCCATGTATGGTGCTATTGCGAAATTCATTAGGAAGTTTGAAGACATTTCAAATAACAGGTTGTTTTGATTTCTGAAGTGAAAGTGGGGAGGCATTCTGTTTTATGGAAGGAGGAAGGACTCGGGTCAGAAAACTTGTATGCTATGGTTAGCTGGTTTCCAGCTTCCGAGAATGTTGTTTTCCATGGTGTAAAACTTACTGAGCATCAGGATAAGGGATAACGACTCTATGGATATACAGAATCCTTCACCATGGTAAAACTCGCTAACCCGCTGTATACTGAGTGGATTTTGGAGGCCATCAAAAAAGTGAAGAAGCAGAAACAACGTCCTTCAGAAGAAAGGATATGCAATGCAGTGTCTTCATCCCATGGCTTGGATCGTAAAACTGTTTTAGAACAATTGGAATTGAGTGTTAAAGATGGAACAATTTTAAAAGTCTCAAATAAAGGACTCAATTCCTATAAAGATCCTGATAATCCTGGACGAATAGCACTTCCTAAACCTCGAAACCATGGAAAATTGGATAATAAACAAAATGCAGATTGGAATAAACTGATCAAGCGAGCAGTTGAAGGCTTGGCTGAGTCCAGTGGCTCAACTTTGAAAAGCATTGAGCGTTTTTTGAAAGGTCAGAAGGATGTGTCTGCATTATTCGGAGGCAGTGCAGCCTCTGGCTTTCACCAGCAGTTACGATTGGCCATTAAACGTGCCGTTGGCCACGGCAGACTCCTTAAAGATGGACCTCTTTATCGGCTCAACACTAAAGCAGCCAATGTGGATGGGAAAGAGAGTTGTGAGTCTCTTTCCTCTTTACCTCCAGTGTCACTTCTTCCACATGAAAAGGATAAGGTGAGAATGATATATGCCTCAGTGTTCATAGAGCTAATACAGATGCTACAGAGTCACATTTCTAGAAAAGTTAGGTAGAAGTTACATCCAAGTTTTGTTTGGGGACTTTTGTGGAATGACACCTCTGGTTTTTCATTGGCAAGTTCTAGGTGTGACAACTCAGTTGATGCTAATTGTTCTGACACTTGAAATATTTTGACACCTAAGAGTCAAAGTGCTGAGTATTGATCTGCCAAAAAGCGTTTATTTAGATTTGAATTGAAAGGTAGCATACAACTTTAAAACTTATATAAAATTACTTAACATACCTATTGCTCAAGTTGATCAGCAGCCAAATGCTGGAGATTTTTTTCCATTTTGTTGCAGATTATCATTAGGAATGGGACTGCTTCTCTGGACCCATAGTAGTAGCTATGCAAATTTAGCAATTCTTAATTTCTGCTGCTTGTATTCTGATTTTCTGTCATGTATTATTCTTTGTATATGATCAGTTCTTGTTATTTATGACAGGTTTAAGCACATGGGTCAGTAATACAGTATCCTATATTAGTAAAGTTCTGGGGAGTTGGTAATTTTGATACATAGATGGTATACCTTACTGTGCTGTGTGTTTTTATGCCATTATTTTGTGCAGTACTGAAAGTATGTTGTTACAATAATTTTGGCCCTTAAATAAATATTCAGGGATGAGAAGGATTTTGTTAGTAGTTTTTTTACATCGACCTAGTGTCTAAGCTGTACATTTGTTTCAAGTGCCCTGAATTGTTCTGTGGAGAGTGGTAGTACTTTTTAAGTAATTGTGTGCTTTAGTATACGATAGTAAAGTAATCTTCGTTTGGCTCAAGATCATGGAGGCTACTCATAGGATAAGAAGATTGTGAAGTTAACACAATGTATTTAAAAATATTTGAGATTTTTATCTAGATTTATTGCAATTAATAACACACCTGTAGATTTTTGTTTAAATAGCAGTTGAAAATTAACAGTATTTTTTCTTTGATGAAGTTTTTAGAGATCTCTTTTAGGGTTCAGTTTTCCCAGTGAACTTTGGAATCGAAACATCTTACTGTTTTACCCTTAAAATGATTCTGATAGTCATAAATTGATAGAGAATCCCATTCTTAAAATGGTTCTTTATCATTTGAGCACTTATTAAGAGTTGTGTATTAAGAATTCAAGGTGGACAAATAACTAAAATACTTTTATTCTGTAGTTCAACTGTAAGAACTGTTTCTTGATCACATGTGGCTGGAGGTAAATGAGATATAAGGATTGACTGATTCCTGCCACCGTTACCAAATGATCTACAGGTTAATTGTGTGGAAACAGAACATAATTTATAGTTTAGAATGAATTCAGTGTAATATTTGTAAATGAGTATTATAAATTCTTGTTAGGACACCTGGGTGCTTGCTTTTATTATAATTTCTGTTGAATTAGATAATTTTTGGAAACATTAGCCATACATAAAATGTCAGTTGTACATATTTTTAAAAAGTAATCAATTTAGTACAATGTAGGACAAATCTGAGTCCCATCACCCTAGGATTATACTTTTGAAAGGGACCTTGAGAACCATGTAATCCAACAGTCCTTATTTTGCAGCCGCCCTGAGACCTTTGCTTTAAAAAAAAGTGTAATCCAGTAGAGATCTGCTGGTTTGCTTTGGTTAGAAATACTTCTTTAGTCTCTAATATATGGTAGTGTTAACCAAAGTTCTAAACTTGGAGTATACATTTGGGAAAATTGAGTTTCGTTGAGTAGACTTCTGTGTATGTGTATTGGTCTGATAGGAAAATTGATTTCATGATATCTACAAAATTAGAGTTGATGAGATCTGGTGTATATTTTTAAATGGAGTCTTATTTTCAACAATGAATTTCCTAAGTGACTTTCTCCAAAGCTAAGAAAAGCTCACGTTCAAGATCATGCATGATACAGTGAACTTCAGGATTAGAAATTATTCCTACTCTGAACAGATGATACGTATGCTTCTTTTATTGTATTTTCACCACTTTCCTTCCTTTTTTTAAACCTATCCAGTTAATTCTACAAAGGAATTGTTGTGAAACTAGATATTCTCAAAAAAATTATCCAGAGTGTATTTGACAGTGATGGAGAAAGGCAAGTATAGACCAGAAGTAGTTTCACTTTTAGGCATTAATTAATTCAACAAATAGTTATTAAGCACCTACTGTGGGCTAGGCACTCTGCTTAGAACTGAAATGGTGTTCTCTTCTCTGGAATGCAAATATATCTATTTGCCTGGTCAGCTGTGGGATGAGAGATGAAATTCAAGGACTATATGGAGCGCCTGAGCAAGTCCTCTTGACTTTCTTCTATATCAGTTCTAACTTTTTATTTATTTATTTTTTGTGATATTAATATTTGGAAGGAACCGTAGAACTGTATGTTAGGTTTTCAGCAACTGAGTGGTTTTTGCTCAGGTCAGTGAGATCAACTGTAGAAATATTTTTAAGATTATTTGTGAAGACACTTGAACTTAAGTGTGTTTTCACACTGATAGTAAGAAGAATCTGTGGGATACTGTGATTTAAAAGTTTTATATTATAAGGGACATTTCTGAGTTAGCTTTAGGCTGTGGTAGTTGATAGTTCGTTTGACCTAATGATGTGTTCCTAACGTGCCAGGCATTACTTTAAAGCTATACATGTATTAACTCATATAATCCTCATACAACTCCATGATACAGGTACTGTTAATTTATAGATGAAACTGAGGCATAAAAGAGGTTCAGTAACTTATCCAAGTCACAGAGATATTGGTGACAGAGGCAGGATTTGAACTTGGAGAGTCTGGCTCTAGGCTCTTGGTAACAGCTGTCCGTACCTGTTTGCCTCTTGGGAGTTATGTCTTCTGGTGCCTGTCACTGCACTCAGGCACACAGTTATGAACATCTTGGTGTTAACTTCATAGCACATTCTCTAATTATGAAGGGACACATTCTACTCCCACCCCTTTACTGTTTGTGTCCCTCTTTTCTCTATCATAAAATGAATTCTGAAACTGAGTTTGAACTAATGGTAAGAATTTTTCAGAAATAAAGACTACGAATAATTGTTTTGTATACCTGAGGTCCATAAAAAGCTTAGTTTTGTCTACATGATGCTTTTTTCTTAAAAATAATTTCTGTGCTTACTGATTTTCATTTCAGTTGTCACTAAAGTTTTCTGACTTGGAGTTTGGGTATTGGTTGCATGGCTGTAACAGAATGCTTTCATTTGGGACAAAATGTTGCTTTCCTTTGAATTGTGGGATGTAGGTAAGGGAGATAGTATGTAATTGGCTTAATAATAACAAACTTCCTCCTTGCAAAATTTCTTTTTGAAATTTAGATAATACTGTAAGATAATTTCATTTACCTCATTTATTCATTTCAGCAGACACTTAGATGCCTACCATGAACAGTGCTTTTAGGATTTCCGTCCTTCTGGGGATTAAGACAGATAGCATAGAAATGTGGACAGAGTTTTTTTTTGAACCTTTATTAGTTTATGAAATGTAACTTTTAGGTCTTTACATTCACTAATTTTTTCATGACAATTAGGCATTGTGAATCTCAGAAATAATTGATGTTTTCTTGCGTGAGGCTGATTATTTGAGATTGTGATGGTTCCTTTAAAAAATTACCTTCAGACACTGAATCTTAGAAGGATCTATTTCAGGAATAATTTTCACTTTGATTTCAAACTTCTGGGTTCATTTTACACAAAGAATAATTTACTTGAATACATATAGGTTATGTTCCATATTACTAGTCCAGAAAACTATACTTTTTATGGCAATCAGCCAAATCATTAAGGTGTTGTTATTCTGTAGAGTAGTATTGAGGAATAAAATTATAGTTTATTACAGCATTGCAGTTGGAAAAAAAAGAGAAAGTATTGTCAGTGAATGCTTTTGTTCAGGTTGTTATCCAGCTAGGTAACCTGGAGCAGAAAGACCAACTAAGTCTATAGCCTACTAATAAAAGTTATAGCTCAGTATAGTAAATGCTTAGTAGAGTCCAAACTATTTTGTGTTAACAGAATTTGGTATTTTAAATTCATAGAATAAGCAGGGCTTTGACAAGAACTTACTAGATTTTTGATGTAGAGGTGCAGATTAGAATGGTAATATGTTTTCAAGTTACTGAGAGTTAAGAGTTAAAGTTTTGATTTAGCTATTTGGAAATAGCCTTTGTGGTAAAATTGTTTCACATTTAATACGTTAGAGTTAGTGGTATTATAAAATTGTTTATAAATGTAAGCTTGNTCCAATATTTTAATATTTTATTTTGGCGTAGGGGAAGCTATCATATAATTCTTAAAATTTGAATGAAATTGGATTATTTTAAGATTGTTTAAGTAGTTGTCACATTTGATGATTTTCGTTTGCATTTGAAGTGTTTAAAGTAATATTGTACTTCAAACAAGAACTTGGTCTGTGTAAATTGTATTTTTTGTTAAGTTAAAATTTCCTCAGTGGTTTTCTGCCTATTTGTTTTTGTCCAGTCCTACTGTCTGGAATTTTGAAAGATAAAGATTCACTTTTACTTTTATTGCAGGATTCTTTCTGCTAATCCCGATACTTGCTGAAGTGCTGAATAGTTTCTCGGGGAAAAATGTCAACGAAGAGTTTCAGTTCATAGACTCCTGAGCCGATTGCAGGTGCAGAATAGCCAATACCCCTCTGGTTAGTGTAGCCTAAGGACTCTGATAGTACCTCTCATCCTCAGATCCTAATCACCTTTTTTTTCCCTTCTTTTATCCCAGTGGTTTATATACATGATTATTTTGGAATGTTTATAGAGACACGTGAAAATTAAATTCTTACAGGTGCTCAACAGATACTTGCTATTTGATTGCTTTTAAAGGCTAAGATGTGTCAGTTATAGCTTATTTATAATATAGGCCTTGATAGAAAACTGACCTTGTTTTAATTGTTTTTCAGGCATGAAATGTACATTTTTCTGCTGGGCATGAGATGTTCTTGAATTCTTACAACTTTATGAAGAGACCCATGTATGGTGCTATTGCGAAATTCATTAGGAAGTTTGAAGACATTTCAAATAACAGGTTGTTTTGATTTCTGAAGTGAAAGTGGGGAGGCATTCTGTTTTATGGAAGGAGGAAGGACTCGGGTCAGAAAACTTGTATGCTATGGTTAGCTGGTTTCCAGCTTCCGAGAATGTTGTTTTCCATGGTGTAAAACTTACTGAGCATCAGGATAAGGGATAACGACTCTATGGATATACAGAATCCTTCACCATGGTAAAACTCGCTAACCCGCTGTATACTGAGTGGATTTTGGAGGCCATCAAAAAAGTGAAGAAGCAGAAACAACGTCCTTCAGAAGAAAGGATATGCAATGCAGTGTCTTCATCCCATGGCTTGGATCGTAAAACTGTTTTAGAACAATTGGAATTGAGTGTTAAAGATGGAACAATTTTAAAAGTCTCAAATAAAGGACTCAATTCCTATAAAGATCCTGATAATCCTGGACGAATAGCACTTCCTAAACCTCGAAACCATGGAAAATTGGATAATAAACAAAATGCAGATTGGAATAAACTGATCAAGCGAGCAGTTGAAGGCTTGGCTGAGTCCAGTGGCTCAACTTTGAAAAGCATTGAGCGTTTTTTGAAAGGTCAGAAGGATGTGTCTGCATTATTCGGAGGCAGTGCAGCCTCTGGCTTTCACCAGCAGTTACGATTGGCCATTAAACGTGCCGTTGGCCACGGCAGACTCCTTAAAGATGGACCTCTTTATCGGCTCAACACTAAAGCAGCCAATGTGGATGGGAAAGAGAGTTGTGAGTCTCTTTCCTCTTTACCTCCAGTGTCACTTCTTCCACATGAAAAGGATAAGGTGAGAATGATATATGCCTCAGTGTTCATAGAGCTAATACAGATGCTACAGAGTCACATTTCTAGAAAAGTTAGGTAGAAGTTACATCCAAGTTTTGTTTGGGGACTTTTGTGGAATGACACCTCTGGTTTTTCATTGGCAAGTTCTAGGTGTGACAACTCAGTTGATGCTAATTGTTCTGACACTTGAAATATTTTGACACCTAAGAGTCAAAGTGCTGAGTATTGATCTGCCAAAAAGCGTTTATTTAGATTTGAATTGAAAGGTAGCATACAACTTTAAAACTTATATAAAATTACTTAACATACCTATTGCTCAAGTTGATCAGCAGCCAAATGCTGGAGATTTTTTTCCATTTTGTTGCAGATTATCATTAGGAATGGGACTGCTTCTCTGGACCCATAGTAGTAGCTATGCAAATTTAGCAATTCTTAATTTCTGCTGCTTGTATTCTGATTTTCTGTCATGTATTATTCTTTGTATATGATCAGTTCTTGTTATTTATGACAGGTTTAAGCACATGGGTCAGTAATACAGTATCCTATATTAGTAAAGTTCTGGGGAGTTGGTAATTTTGATACATAGATGGTATACCTTACTGTGCTGTGTGTTTTTATGCCATTATTTTGTGCAGTACTGAAAGTATGTTGTTACAATAATTTTGGCCCTTAAATAAATATTCAGGGATGAGAAGGATTTTGTTAGTAGTTTTTTTACATCGACCTAGTGTCTAAGCTGTACATTTGTTTCAAGTGCCCTGAATTGTTCTGTGGAGAGTGGTAGTACTTTTTAAGTAATTGTGTGCTTTAGTATACGATAGTAAAGTAATCTTCGTTTGGCTCAAGATCATGGAGGCTACTCATAGGATAAGAAGATTGTGAAGTTAACACAATGTATTTAAAAATATTTGAGATTTTTATCTAGATTTATTGCAATTAATAACACACCTGTAGATTTTTGTTTAAATAGCAGTTGAAAATTAACAGTATTTTTTCTTTGATGAAGTTTTTAGAGATCTCTTTTAGGGTTCAGTTTTCCCAGTGAACTTTGGAATCGAAACATCTTACTGTTTTACCCTTAAAATGATTCTGATAGTCATAAATTGATAGAGAATCCCATTCTTAAAATGGTTCTTTATCATTTGAGCACTTATTAAGAGTTGTGTATTAAGAATTCAAGGTGGACAAATAACTAAAATACTTTTATTCTGTAGTTCAACTGTAAGAACTGTTTCTTGATCACATGTGGCTGGAGGTAAATGAGATATAAGGATTGACTGATTCCTGCCACCGTTACCAAATGATCTACAGGTTAATTGTGTGGAAACAGAACATAATTTATAGTTTAGAATGAATTCAGTGTAATATTTGTAAATGAGTATTATAAATTCTTGTTAGGACACCTGGGTGCTTGCTTTTATTATAATTTCTGTTGAATTAGATAATTTTTGGAAACATTAGCCATACATAAAATGTCAGTTGTACATATTTTTAAAAAGTAATCAATTTAGTACAATGTAGGACAAATCTGAGTCCCATCACCCTAGGATTATACTTTTGAAAGGGACCTTGAGAACCATGTAATCCAACAGTCCTTATTTTGCAGCCGCCCTGAGACCTTTGCTTTAAAAAAAAGTGTAATCCAGTAGAGATCTGCTGGTTTGCTTTGGTTAGAAATACTTCTTTAGTCTCTAATATATGGTAGTGTTAACCAAAGTTCTAAACTTGGAGTATACATTTGGGAAAATTGAGTTTCGTTGAGTAGACTTCTGTGTATGTGTATTGGTCTGATAGGAAAATTGATTTCATGATATCTACAAAATTAGAGTTGATGAGATCTGGTGTATATTTTTAAATGGAGTCTTATTTTCAACAATGAATTTCCTAAGTGACTTTCTCCAAAGCTAAGAAAAGCTCACGTTCAAGATCATGCATGATACAGTGAACTTCAGGATTAGAAATTATTCCTACTCTGAACAGATGATACGTATGCTTCTTTTATTGTATTTTCACCACTTTCCTTCCTTTTTTTAAACCTATCCAGTTAATTCTACAAAGGAATTGTTGTGAAACTAGATATTCTCAAAAAAATTATCCAGAGTGTATTTGACAGTGATGGAGAAAGGCAAGTATAGACCAGAAGTAGTTTCACTTTTAGGCATTAATTAATTCAACAAATAGTTATTAAGCACCTACTGTGGGCTAGGCACTCTGCTTAGAACTGAAATGGTGTTCTCTTCTCTGGAATGCAAATATATCTATTTGCCTGGTCAGCTGTGGGATGAGAGATGAAATTCAAGGACTATATGGAGCGCCTGAGCAAGTCCTCTTGACTTTCTTCTATATCAGTTCTAACTTTTTATTTATTTATTTTTTGTGATATTAATATTTGGAAGGAACCGTAGAACTGTATGTTAGGTTTTCAGCAACTGAGTGGTTTTTGCTCAGGTCAGTGAGATCAACTGTAGAAATATTTTTAAGATTATTTGTGAAGACACTTGAACTTAAGTGTGTTTTCACACTGATAGTAAGAAGAATCTGTGGGATACTGTGATTTAAAAGTTTTATATTATAAGGGACATTTCTGAGTTAGCTTTAGGCTGTGGTAGTTGATAGTTCGTTTGACCTAATGATGTGTTCCTAACGTGCCAGGCATTACTTTAAAGCTATACATGTATTAACTCATATAATCCTCATACAACTCCATGATACAGGTACTGTTAATTTATAGATGAAACTGAGGCATAAAAGAGGTTCAGTAACTTATCCAAGTCACAGAGATATTGGTGACAGAGGCAGGATTTGAACTTGGAGAGTCTGGCTCTAGGCTCTTGGTAACAGCTGTCCGTACCTGTTTGCCTCTTGGGAGTTATGTCTTCTGGTGCCTGTCACTGCACTCAGGCACACAGTTATGAACATCTTGGTGTTAACTTCATAGCACATTCTCTAATTATGAAGGGACACATTCTACTCCCACCCCTTTACTGTTTGTGTCCCTCTTTTCTCTATCATAAAATGAATTCTGAAACTGAGTTTGAACTAATGGTAAGAATTTTTCAGAAATAAAGACTACGAATAATTGTTTTGTATACCTGAGGTCCATAAAAAGCTTAGTTTTGTCTACATGATGCTTTTTTCTTAAAAATAATTTCTGTGCTTACTGATTTTCATTTCAGTTGTCACTAAAGTTTTCTGACTTGGAGTTTGGGTATTGGTTGCATGGCTGTAACAGAATGCTTTCATTTGGGACAAAATGTTGCTTTCCTTTGAATTGTGGGATGTAGGTAAGGGAGATAGTATGTAATTGGCTTAATAATAACAAACTTCCTCCTTGCAAAATTTCTTTTTGAAATTTAGATAATACTGTAAGATAATTTCATTTACCTCATTTATTCATTTCAGCAGACACTTAGATGCCTACCATGAACAGTGCTTTTAGGATTTCCGTCCTTCTGGGGATTAAGACAGATAGCATAGAAATGTGGACAGAGTTTTTTTTTGAACCTTTATTAGTTTATGAAATGTAACTTTTAGGTCTTTACATTCACTAATTTTTTCATGACAATTAGGCATTGTGAATCTCAGAAATAATTGATGTTTTCTTGCGTGAGGCTGATTATTTGAGATTGTGATGGTTCCTTTAAAAAATTACCTTCAGACACTGAATCTTAGAAGGATCTATTTCAGGAATAATTTTCACTTTGATTTCAAACTTCTGGGTTCATTTTACACAAAGAATAATTTACTTGAATACATATAGGTTATGTTCCATATTACTAGTCCAGAAAACTATACTTTTTATGGCAATCAGCCAAATCATTAAGGTGTTGTTATTCTGTAGAGTAGTATTGAGGAATAAAATTATAGTTTATTACAGCATTGCAGTTGGAAAAAAAAGAGAAAGTATTGTCAGTGAATGCTTTTGTTCAGGTTGTTATCCAGCTAGGTAACCTGGAGCAGAAAGACCAACTAAGTCTATAGCCTACTAATAAAAGTTATAGCTCAGTATAGTAAATGCTTAGTAGAGTCCAAACTATTTTGTGTTAACAGAATTTGGTATTTTAAATTCATAGAATAAGCAGGGCTTTGACAAGAACTTACTAGATTTTTGATGTAGAGGTGCAGATTAGAATGGTAATATGTTTTCAAGTTACTGAGAGTTAAGAGTTAAAGTTTTGATTTAGCTATTTGGAAATAGCCTTTGTGGTAAAATTGTTTCACATTTAATACGTTAGAGTTAGTGGTATTATAAAATTGTTTATAAATGTAAGCTTGGTAATTTCAATTTCAGATATCCTGTTGCTAAGATACTTTATAGTAATTGTTTATGCTATTAAATTCAGGTTGTGTTGACTGCTGGACAGAATGATTGTTTACTTAAAAACAACCAAAAAATCTTTTGAAAGCCAAAGACAACTACGTAAAAGTCGAGGAAATTAGTTAGTAGTAAGTGGAACAAGTTCTCAATTTAATGGTGTGTATTAAGATTCCCTATGAGAGCATGCAAGCTAGTGTACTTTATAATTACAGGCATACCTTAGATATATGGTGGGTTTAGATCCAGACTACTGCAGTAAAGTGAGTCAAATGAATTCGTCAGTTTCCCGGTGCGTTTAAGTTATGTTTACATTATACTATAGTTAATTAAGTGTGCAATAGTAATATGTCCAAAAAAAAAAAGCATACCTACCTTAATTAAAAAATACTTTAATGCTAGAAAGTTCTAGTCATCATCTGAGCTTCCAGTGGGTGGTAATCAGTGATCACAGATCACCATTTCAAATATAATAATAATAAAGTTTGAAATATTTTGAGCATTACCAAAATGTGGTGTAGACAGGAAGTGAGCAAATGCTTTTGGAAAAATGGTGCAAATAGACTTGCTCAACATAGTTTTACCACCTTTAATTTGTAAGAAACACAATATCTGTGAAGCACAATACAGTGAAGAACAATAAAACAAGATATGCCTGTATTGCAAGATTTAATTCTTATGTTGTA